CTCTCTCTCTCTCTCTCTCTCTCTCTCTCTCTCTCTCTCTCTCTCTCACACACACACACACACACACACACACACACACACACATGCACACACACTTTTTCTTTTTTTTCTTCCCAAAAAGTTCCGCTTCAGCCCAGTGGAGGAGGTGATATGAGCWACCCCCTATAGTGGACTCACAGCAGAATGCTCCCGTCTATTAGTGGGGAGCGGCACCTGCTGGAAACCGGGTTCCAGCGTCCCATGAACAGCATGAACAAAGCACCAGCGAAAACATAAACACAGCATAATCACCACCTTACCCATCCCCAACCACATCAAAAAACAAACTGCGGGCTGTGCACCCGTGCTCTCACAGCAAGTCAATGACAGTATGGATTGATTTTATTTTTTTTTTCCCAAAACAACAATGCCCCTTCTATTCTGGGGGACGATAGTCCGGTTGCTTATCACCGGCAAACGTGTTTTTACAATTGAGAAAGGGGGGGGAAGAGACGAGAAGAGGGGGTCAGCCTAGACAGTATGGATTTTTTTATTTTTAAACCTTTTTTTTTTTTTTCCCCTTTTGCAAGCAACCAAGGTCATTCAAGCACAGGAAAGGTCTGAGGGTCGTACCTTTTGGCCAAGGGAGAGTTCTAGGGTCAAAAAGTTGGTCCGAGAGCCCTTTTGAGTGGCTCCAGAAGTCCTTAGGTGGGTATGCCTGTGGTCAAGGGTCAAAACGAGGTACGTGCAGCCTCCAAAAGTCAAAGTTGACCCTGGGAAGTCAATAGTTAGGCGGTACCCAGGTGCTGAAGTCTGAGGCTCAAAGAGTCAACCACAGCCACAGGTCGCATACAATCCAGAGGCTCAGCAATGGCTGGCAGAAGCTTCCAGGGCCCACTGAGTCAAGGCACATGCCACAGCATATTTCAGGCTGTGGAGATCGAGAAATCTCAACCACTTGAGGAGGAAAGTTGAGGTAGGCCAGGACAAGTCGCAGCTGCAAATACTGGGGTTTTCCCAGCTCGTGACTCATTCTGTCTTGCAGTAGTTGGAGGCTGAGGCACTGCTGCTGAAGCACTTACGCTGGAAGAAGGCAGACACAAGGTGAGAGCCTGAGTGAGTAATAGCTATTGTAGGTGATGCGCATGCACCATAGCTTAGTGTGAGAGAAGACAACCATGTCATGTGCCGAGTGCAGGAGAGAAAGAGGCTGATTTGGTCTTCGCTGGTGATGTGCCATGAGTTAACGAACAGGACTTCGCTTCTGATGGTGGGCATAGGAGGTGGCAAGAAGAGAGAAAGGAGAGCTTGGAGGTGGAAGGTTGAAGGCAAGAGTGACATTGTATCGAATAACTATTATTTGGGATTATCCTCATCCTCCTACTCCTGCCTTCCTTTGTCTCCACTCTGGTCTACTTGGGATCACTTTGCAATTGTCATTCTTTGAACATTGTGTTGATGGTCTGAGCTTCTCGGATTTTGGGTTCATTACGTCTCATCTTGAATAGGACGGCTTTCCACTGTGGCTACCTTTGGCTGGTTTCGTTTCACGGCCAAGACTTGCTGGAATGACATATTTTGGGTTGAACGGAAGGTTTTGGACGGGCTTTAATAAAGAATGGGCCGAGCCCATGCTTTCAGATTTCAATAGACTCCTTGACCTCTTGAATCATGTTAGTGCATTGCAACAAGCATTTAGAAAAAGATCCCCAGTATTCTATTGTGCATCTCTAAGAACGATTGACAGCTGAAAGATTGAGACTATCAGTCTGTCTTTCACTCCTTTCAGACTGTCATGGGATGGCAAAGAATCCTCTGAAATGGAATCTAACCTTTTCTCATTGTTTGTTTGTTGTTGGCAGATGTTAAATGGTGTTACAGATGCATGGGCTGTCCGCTGGCCGAATTTCCCTCTCATCCACTACATTTCACCGCCGGATGGCCTTGGCAGCCAAGCAACCCCTATGAGAGGAATTGCAGGACCTGGTGTTGCTCATCAACCTTCAGATTCCGAGGTTTGCTATGATCTTGTCCGTTTCATGTCGCAGAACTCGGACATGAGATAATGCCATATATGGCAACTCAAGGAGACGGAGCATGATTTCAGGACAGAAGAAATGGAACCAATATCGTCTCCCTCCTCCTGTCCCCACCATCATCTCTTGCTCATCATCACCTCCATGTCTTTGTTTATGAAGGATTACAATAGTAAGTGGTTAATAAATGAACAAAAATCAATGTCCGAATGATCCCCCTTCCTGCCAGTGCAGAAAGAACTCTCCTTCAGCTCACTCTTCCTCTCCGCTCCACTTGGTATGGCTACTAGCTATGGCGGCTCATCCATGAGTAGCATGGTCATTCAAGGGGCAACACAACTAATCTTCTGCCTCTCCTCCTCCTACTGCCATAGCTACTTCCCAGATGAAGACCAAGTCCAACCTGTACCGTAGCAGGAGCCTTCTTGATGCATCGCAACCAGGATAGCCCAAAGTAGGTCTCCTTGTTGGTTCCCTGGGTGCGTATTCAAAGCCCGACCGGCAGGTCTTCCCCCTGACCCTCCATAGCCCGACCGGTAGGTCTTTCCCCTGAACCTCCATAGCCCGACCGGTAGGTCTTTCCCCTGAACCTCCATAGCACTACTACTCTATGGCCATGGAGGTCTTCTTTGTCACCCAACTTTGTCTCACTTCCCTCTGCCCAGAGCAGCAGCTTGACGGCAGGGTGATTGGCTGCCCGGCCTCGAGTACCTCTTGCCTCCCACCGGCCTTCCCTGGGTGCAGTTTGCCTACCGGATGTTCCTGCTTTTGGCAGGAACATCATTTCACTCTGTAATCCACTTGTGGGTTCTGAACCTTCACCTAAAGTTGTCTACATTTGGGCCTGATACGGTCATGCCCTACTGGACAGCTACTAGACGTTTCCAGACCTAAGGTCCTCCTCCCTCCTTTGTTGGCTCTTTCTTCCTCAGATCCCCAACCTCTTCCCCTCCTGTCCTCATATGACATGGCCCTGCCTTCGCTCCACACCCTTCCCTCGTGACTTTAAGGGAGATTCATTGGACATTCCTTCTTTGGCCTTTATCCCCTCTATCTTATTAAAGCTGAAGACGAGTCTTACGTAACATTCCTGTGAGACCAGCTCGACAGCTGGGACAAGGAACGGACATGGGGCAATTTTGGTCATGTGGTTTTTCTTTTCTTTTTGGGTAGAGTTTGGGAGTTCCTTTTTCTTCATAGGGCCAACGAAGCATTCAAGTGTCGGTGGATTTGCAGTGTGGTGCCTTCAGGTGTTGATCGCAACACCGGATGGTGGCGAACCCCCCTCCCACATTGCTCTCACCTCCACCCATCCAAAAAGACTCCCCCAACCCCCCACTCCAGACACACAACACCCCCCCCCTAACCCCCAGGTGTCAGAGTCTTTCATAAATAGAACACACCGAAAGTCTCCACTCTCCAGCCAGCGCGATTCTCCAACAGTCAAGTCGGTAGACCTCAGCTAACACTCCCACTCACCATCAGCATCAGACCCCACACATCCTAGCTAGAACACCATGTCTTCACGAGCTTAAATAGACACAAACATCAACACCTTATCCACAGCCCCCACATCACACAAGCACAACCGGGCCCCCAATAGTGAATGGGGCACCAGGGTATAGGGGTTTAACAAAGGGCACAGACGGACGCCCAAATAGCCACTGTTACACTCAAGGCTACATCTGATTGACAATCTGCTAGGAAGAATTAGAAGGACAAGACCCTCGAAGAGGAGAAGCTTCTAGGTAAAAAGGAAAGACCAGTATAGGAGTTAGGGTTCAGGGTATATGGATTTTACACAGGACACTGTCCAGGTAGTCCCTCATCATTAATTAGCCAGCGCAAATAGCCCATAAAATAGAGACAGGCGGTAGAGCATTCCAGTAAGGCTAACTTAGGCAGGGGTGAGGGGTGGTACACCCTTCCCCAGGGGAAGTAATCAATGCCGTCCACTTGGGTCTCTCAACCATCATGGGGAGAAGTGTGCGTAACTGTTGTAATATTTTTGACTTGCCGGTGGAGTAGGAACCGGACTGACGCTCCCCAGAACCCGTCTGCTGTGCGGGCGATGGCTAGAGAACAGATAAACTATGTCGGGCAACAAAAAGGGACAAGCAGACACCAATAGAAAATGCCAAGGGACTGGCCTTTACGATAAAACATTAGGGATAGCCCTTCGGGGTGGGGGGCGGCGGGGTGGGGGGTGGGAAAGGGGAGAAAGGAGATTACTGCTGTGCTTCGTGTGTTTTTCATTACGATTCAAAGGAACGAATACCTTCAATAAGACCCATCTGTCCTAGGTTTAAAAAAGAAGGGAACCACAACTCTCATGATTCCCCCATCTATGCGCCCTTCCCCACCTGCCACATCAGAAACTTATCCCCCTTGTTCATCACTCAATGCCTCCGAAAGAAAGTTGAGTAAGCCAAGTGACAACAGTCAACTGGAGATGGGAGTAGAAAGTCCACATTGTGCTAGACGAGAAAATGGCTGATGTTAATACAAGAGGAGGAGGAACAGACATAAAGACTTACTTTTCCCTACGATGTATATCTTCACCTCCAAGTGTAGCATTGCATCTAGACCATTTTAGGGGTAATGCTGCACACGGACTTCATCCAAGAGTGAGGCATGATCCAAGAGTGAGGCATGGAGGTTATCGCGTAGGGGAAGTGAGATACTGGCTGTGTTGTCCTCCGTACATCCACATAGGGACCTGGTGCTACCGGAGGGGATTACCAGGTCGGACATTCTTTGATTTTAAATATTGTAACAAAGATGAGGGGGAGAGTTCGAAGGGGGCAGCACAGCAGAATTGTAGACATTTTCAATGCTACATTTTTCCATGACTTCACTTTTATGAACTGCAAAGACCTCTCACAATATGTTTGCTGCCCTTCTGGTTATCATATTTTTGCCTTGAATATGACAGATGGATTTGCTCGAGCTCGCCTGGAAAGAGAGATTGGACCAGATGCAAGGTCACTATGATCTCTTGGAACCCTTGATTGCTTTGCGAGGTGTCCTCCTCCGGTCTTTGGACCGTGAGGATCGTTTTCTTTCCCATCTTCAAGAAGCTGCACGGATTGCACGGAAGGTAGGATGAGGTTCCATCGTGCTGTTTATGGGAAGTTCCAAGTTTGGGTACACCTGTTCTGGTTTTACGTTCTCGAGTATCTCAGAGATTGACAAATTGCAGAATTCATACAGCTTTACAAAAAAAAATCTCCGTTATCATCGGCGTTATGCTCTTTCTAGATTCTTTTCCTGACTGAGAGGTTTGACCATCGAACTGACGGCCCCAGGTAATTTAGAGTTATTCGCGCTGTTTATCAAGAGTTGCATGGGTGTACCATTCCACCCATGGCTACCATCCGGACATCCGAACAGGCGTCCACACGGTCTGCTGTCCGGTGTCTGGATGCTGGACCGTAGGAGGCTCGTCCGGAAGGGGCCAAAACCTCAAAATTTGAAAAAAAAGGGGGCACCCTAGACCTGTTCCTTGGGTGCAAGGCGGCCCCTGAAAAATGTTTTGACGATTTTTGGGGCCGCTATTGGCCGTACAGAGGGGCCGGACCAGCGCCTTTTCTACTTGCATCCTTGACAGACGTTGGAGGCAGAGCGCAGTTCCCCAGTGACGAGGGGAAGAAAGGGTGGATCTAGGCACTTCGGAGTGCTTTCCCAACCACCTGTCATGGCCGCCACACACGCGCTCACACACACACACAGGGAGAAGGAGAGAGAGCCCTCGTTACAGTTGTGGACTGGTGCGCGCCTGTGCGCACACGCAAGAGAGAGAGAGAGAGAGAGAGAGAGAGAGAGAGAGAGAGAGAGAGAGAGAGAGAGATAACTTTGAACTTTAAATTCTGAACTGCTAGAGTCTTGAACTTCATTTAATATTTACCTGAGTTCAAGTTTACTGTGGAGTGCTCTTTTTCTGTTTCTTCACTTTTTCTTTCCTTGCAGGCTTGCAGCAGTTTGTGCTTTGCAGTGACTGTGCCAGCACAGTGAATGTCAAGGAATGATCATTCATGTTTGTCATATATGCCAACTGCTATGTCTTCCTGGAACACTTCCCCTGAAGTCAAGGTTATGAGATGAAACCATGGCTGTGCCGGCAACCGGCCGGTTGGACGGGCCCGGATCAAACCGGGCCGGTTGGACCCCCGGTGGTCCAACCGGAATTCCGGTTGGGTCCAAAAGTGGGTCAATTTTTTTTTTTTCTTTCTTTGAAAACATGGTTGGACTGCGCTCACCGAGATCTCCCCGAATCCGCAAAGAAAACTTTGAACAGAGAAGTTTCGTTTGTGGGG